TTCACTTTGCGCATTCGTCTTCGTATACTTCTTCGTGCTCGTCTTGGTCTCCGCATTAATTATGATAAAAAGAAAAATAAATACATATAAAAATTTATTAACTTGCTATACCATGGTACATTGGTATTAATTTCTTTCTATACGAGTCTTTACACAATATAAAGGTAAATAAGGCAGTTCGTATTCAAAAACTCCTCCGACATAATTACGCGGATGCTATAAGACTTTGTACTTTGGTGTCTAAATACGTTTAAATACATAATTCTAAAACTCAGAAACAAATCTTTTATGCGCGCCAAGGTGGTTTACAACAATTCAAACGTTTATCGGACTTATCTAATTTGCTATTGGATGTCGACGCCTTGGTCTTATTAGCATAGGCTAAAATCTCGTCCAATTTATCGAATTCACTGGGTGATTTGCTAAGTAACTAAAAACAAAAGTTAAGCGTTCATTAGCATAATGCGCTATATTTTTTGTCACTTTTACCAACCAATTCTATGTATGCCTGTAGTCTGTCCATTGGTTCTGGCGAAGCCCTCCGCTCGTTCACATTATTAAGATTATTTTCCTTTATTTTCAATATTCTATCACGTGGTTTATTCTTCTTGGGAGTTTCATAGTTCCTTTCATCTTTATTTGTATCGTTTTCGATATTCACTATTGATTCACAGTCTGTATTATTACTTATTTGTTGCGATCGATCACCAGGTGACGTTAATATTTCCAATGCTTTCTGCCACTGATCTTCCATAACGTCATGCAGTTTTTCTGCTATAACAGCTCTAAAATTAATGTTATTTGATTAATGAATTGACAAGATTATTTTTGAGAAATATTAACTAACCTTTTGGCTCTGTAGGCATTTAATTTTGTTTCAAGATCCCCAATTTTCTTGGAGGCATTCGCAAGTTGTATTCGATACAACTCTACTTCCTCTTTGTGTTTCTCTTGTAGTAAATTCAGTTCCATTTCATTTTTTTCGTTTATAAGTTCTATTTGTTTGACGGCCCGTTCGGCAATTAAACGTTCACGTTCGCGCGCCTCCAACTTCAGTATTTCTTCAGTCTTATCCAACTGCTGTTGAAACTCTTTCATTTTTTGTTCAACACCGCTTTCCAACTGCTGCTGATAATGCGATTTAAGGGTTTTTTGTTGAAGATCAATCTTCTTTTTTAAGCTTGTCTGAATACAAAATACCAGCTTATACTTGTTTTTTTTTTT